AAAATTCACTGATTTTGAGAGTAATATATGGTCATGTTTCTTGCAAGTGCAATAAATATTTATCTGTAATAAAAAAATTATATTTGTCTCATTGCATAATTTTCTCATAATCTGATTATTATTTATACTTTTTGGAATCAGCCATTAGGACAGTACTGTACATTTCTTTTTATTGATATTAAATGAAATCCTGCAAACATCAGGCTCTGAGACACCATTAAAGCACCTGAGGTTGTATTAAAGGGGTCATATGATGTTGCTAAAAATAACATTATTTTGTGTATTTGGTGTAATGAAACAACAATACTACAGCGAGAATCAAAGTTACGCCTTCTTTCTTTGTGTGAAGATTTGGGCGGCGTTATGCAAATCTTCCCAGATAGTGACGTAGACATGCGGGGGCGTGTTAAAACGAGGCGTTTTAGGAGGGCGTGGACGAGCTTAACTTTTATAAAGAATATCTCTTTGGGTTTGAGACTTTAGTCTTTGCAACTTTAGGGATCTTATCTATTCACGAACAGCTTGTAACACTCCAAAGAGAAAGGAAAACTTGAAATCGCATCATATGACCCCTTTAAGAGCCCTTATAATATCAGGCATATCATGTGTATTTAGAGCACAGAGGAACTGTTCTCATATCAATAGGTGATATTTAACCAGTAGAAAAGCAAAAACAGAACAATTTTTAACAGATTGCTTCCTGGTGAAATTTATCACCAGGCAAACATAAGTAGATAAACAATAAAAGACTAATCCATTTACAAGACTTTCCTCCTCTTAAAAAAAGGGAAAATGAAAATGTGTTGTCAGACTCAGCATTTATATTAAAAAGAGCAGGAAAGTGTTAACATCATCAAAATGTGTAAATTATAAGTGGTGCATTTTAGATATTTTGTTTTTCTAAGTACCATACGTGTATGTTTTCTGAGCAACATAGTAAGTAAAGCACATCTATTTATGGTGGTCAGGATAATAAACATGTAGCAGCCTTTTTTATGAAACATCTGGGTCACTAAATCCACTGTAATTTAAGATTAATTATGTTCTTCTTTGGTCTAACAATAAGTGGTAGACTATAACATACTTACAAATAAAAAAAACAACAATACAATTACAGAAGAATGTGTAGGTCAAAACTTGTAGGACTTTTCAATTGTATTGTTTTGTTATCTGAAGTGTGCTGAGATAAACAGCATTCATTATATGTTATTATTAGTGCTGTCAAACGATTAATCGCGATTAATCGCATCCAAAATAAAAGTTTTTATTTACATAATATATTATGTATGTTTACTGTGTATATTTATTATGTATATTTAAATACACAAACAAAAATATTTACATGTATATACATTTATATATTTATATTATTATATTTTATATTATATATAAATATATTTAATATATAAACATAACATATTTTTCTTAAATATATACATGCATGTTTTTGTATTTATATATACATAATAAATATACACAGTAAACATACATAATATATTATGTAAATACAAACTTTTATTTTGGATGCGATTAATCGCAATTAATCGTTTGACAGCACTAGTTATTATATATAAGTTCATCTGAAGGGTTCAAGGTGCTGCATGCAAATATCTTGTTCAGATATTGTTCGGATGTCCATAATATGATCATTGTTTAAACAGCACTTTGCGAATGATGGCCATAAAACCTGTTTTGACTGATTATTAATTGCTTAAATATGTAATCATATCAGGCCATGGCAATAAAAATGAACATATCTAAATGCAAACATCAATGTTGATGTGTTGAATGAGTATGTCGAGTGTTTTATTACTATATGAGTGTGTGTGTGTATGAGATTTGAGTGATAGGGTGGTCTTTTTCAGTGGGGGGTGAACGGTGACATTGTCCCCCTTCGCTGTCACGTGCTGTGGAATATGCTGGCTGCCTTTGTCAGCCTGTGACTCGTTCTGCTTTTCTGGCAGTTTCATACAATGGTGCCCTCATGCACTATGATGTTATCAAGCCCCTCACAGTACAACTGCTGGAATTCAGGCCTGCATGCAAGCATCCTTACCTGGGACACATGGATAGCACAACCTTGAGACACAGCAAGCGCTCATAGCAAGGAGGACTCAAAGGAGGAGTCAAAAATCAGGTGATTTTTTTTTCTACCTGTCTTTTTTGGCTTTAGTATTTTAATATTATGTGTACGGTGGGGTCTTAAAGGCTTGAGGTCACACTGAAAGCCTGGGAATCAAATTTTGATTTTAAACTGAAAACTAAAAAAATGTTATGATGCAAAATGGTGAAGAAATTTTTCATATTTTGTACAGTGTTTATAGGTCAATCAAATTTGTAATCTTGATCATGTGACAGTCAGATGTTCTTAGTTCTGCTGAAACTCAAGATGCTCTCTGGTTCATTTTCAAATCATGATCATCGGGTTTCACACAAAATTCATGTTCATTTTCCAAATCAAATTCTCACTCAAATTGTGATTATATATTGTAAAGAAAAAAAAAGTTCAAAAAGCATTTTGAATACTGATCTATTAAAACTCACAGTATACTTTAGTAATACAATAATATATTTTTACTCTTTTTTTTAAATAACACACTACTGTTGAAAGGTTTTAGGTCAGTAAGATGCGTTAAATTGATCAAAAATGACAGTAAAGACATTTATAATGTTACAAAATTTCTATTTCAAATAAAAGCTGTTCTTTTGAATTTCCCACTTTCATTATTCCTCAAAGAATCCTAAAAGAAAAAGTATCACAGTCCCCACAAGAATATTAAGTTTCAAATGAAGTTATTAATAATAATTAGTATATAATTAGAGATGTTGCTTGAGCAACAAATTAGCATTTTAGAATGATTTCTGAAGGATCATGTGACGCTGAAGACTGGAGTAATGATGCTGAAAACTCAGCTTTACCATCACAGGAATAAACTGAAAATTGAAAAATGTTGTATTAAATTGTATTAATATTTCTCAATATTACTGTTTTCACAGTATTTTTAATCAAATAAACGCAACCATGGTGAGCATAAGAGACGTCTTTTTTAGAAAAACATTACAAATTTTACTGACCCCAAACTTTTGAACGGTAGTGTATAATAACTGAAAATGAATTCATGGCCATGGATTATGCTAAATTAATTACTTATATTAAATATTGTACTATGTACATAGTACTTATTAGATGTGATAGAAAACTATACACATATTTAAAATGTGACACATGATTAACTAAACATTATTTACTATTGACTAATGATTGCATATATTTTAGGATGTTTATAATTATTTTTAATAATTATTTTATAATAATTTTATTTGTAATTATTATTTTCAAATTTTTTTTTTTTAGTTTTTAAACACGTTTGTATATATCAAGCCTCATTATAGTTCATGACAACCATGTCAAATTTTCTCTATGTATTTATTTTGAACAATTTTATGCATTTACAATCTTTTAACCTGATTCTAATACAGTCATGCTGTTCACACAGGATGTCTCTCAGAACAGAGGGGGCCCAGTGTGGTGGTGTTGCTGTGGAGTTTGACGATGATAATGACAGAGATTCACCTGTGATCAAAGCCAGGAATATACCTCGTATGTTTCTTTACTTGAATCAAACTATTTATATTGGGCAGGTTTAATACTTCAAACTAGTCAAATACCTGTGATATTTCCATATAACTACACACCAAATTTGCTTGACAGAATATGCAAGGAACAGTTCACACAAATTTAGTTTGGAGAGGAAGGTCATGCTTTTCCATAACACCAAAAAGAAGGTACAAAAAGCTGGATCTATTCAAGTCAAGTGCGATATTACAGTTATACTGTATATACGTTTATTGTTTTGGACTACAAACCGATTAAAATTTAATTACTGTAAATCCAGCCAAACTTTTCATGTTTTTGACAGTTTGTGAGGAAAGTATGTGAATGTCTGATTCACTTTAACTCGTTCACAAAATACAGTGATGGTTTTCATGAATCGGAGTGATCCGGTTCTTGAGTTTATGGTTTATGAGACTAATCTAAAATCATAAGACCCCATTTATCATAACCGTATGGAGCGACCAACATAAATCTTCATCATTTTTACTTTTGTGCTCCACGGAAATAAACAAAACCAAAACAAAACGAGTTTAGAAAGTAAACAATCCTTTTAAATGTTAAGGTAAGGCTTATTATAGAGTGATTAAAATAGAGAAACATTCTGCTATTTTATATTAGAAGATGCTAAAAATCTGCAGAGCCTGCTTGTTCTTGCTGTCTGGCTTTAAACAGTCTATTATTCTACAACCAATGCGCATACAAGTAATAAATCTTTAAAAACTCTTTATCTCATAGGATCAGCCCTCATCTACCTCAAGGGCCCCAAGTTCCTCATCTATGTGAGCGGAGCGTTATCTATGTGGGTAAGGAGCTGTTTTCATATCTGCAATGCTGGCACTCAGTAAACAGGGCATGAGCTCTGGCACACTATCAATTTCAATTTTTTCATGACAATTCTCATTAATGCAGTCAGTTTCATTAATGACATTTTTTGACAATTTAAATAATAATTAAAATGGTGAAATTTTTAATCTTGAGAATATGGAAGGTACTTAATTGTCATGTAAATTTATGATATATTAATGCAAATAATAATAATATTGCAAAATAAATAAATAAACCAGACATGACATCTCTCTCTCTCTCTTTTTTACCATAAATGCAAATACATAATGCATTTTCACTTTGTTTCTCGGGTTGCGGTCAACCCAGTCTCCAATCAAAGCCCCTAATAAGAGCACCGATCCGGCCACCACCAGTCCAAAGATGCCAGTTAACAGCAGGTTATGCCCATACAGCTCAATCAGGAAGACAGAGATGGCGAAGTGCCACATGCGATCACCCTGGCACGCGAAAAGACATGATCAGCTCAAGATATCATACCTGAGATATCATAATTCACATCTTTTGTGTGGTCCTCAAAGTATCATGAAAGGAAGAAGAATTAACAATGAATTGACATTCATATAACAAATTTTTAGCAAAAAAGGAAAAGACAAACTTTAAATGTGGGATTAATAAACTCCTGTTTGAAAGTTATGAAAATTTAAATTTGGGCTTAAATTTAAGCCTAAAATTTAAATTTGAAGGTTTATAGGCCTTATGGACATACAGAACAGCAAAACAACAGATATAATGATAGAACAACAGAACGATAGATAGATAGATAGAACGATAGATAGATAGAACGATAGATAGATAGATAGATAGATAGATAGATAGATATCATTTGAAGTGGATTAAAAAAGTTCATCAAAGTTGTCCTAAATCAAGAACGCATTTTGGTTTTAGGACAACTTTGATGAAAGCTTTTGATCCACTTCAAATGTTGACTAGTGCAGACAGACAGACAGATAGACAGATAGATAGATAGACAGACAGACAGACAGACAGACAGACAGATAGAATTACTGATATATAATCCAAATCCACAATCCATCTTGGTTTGTTCAGGCAAGACCTCAGCAAGTCCAGCTGCTGCCATCTCAGAGGAAAGCACCAGCCTGCATTTACAAGAAATAAGCCGAATACCAGTGTGCCTCCATCGGCTGCGTGGGCTCCTCAGCACCTGCCGGGAAGGATGGAGGGCGTATTACAGACAGCCTATTTTCCTCGTCGGCCTGGGCCTGGCCTTCCTTTACACCACAGTGCTGGGCTTTGACTGCATCACCACCGGCTACGCCTACACCCAGGGCATCAGCGGCTCGCTGCTCAGCATTCTGATGGGCGTGTCGGCTGTGGCGGGGCTTCTGGGTACTGTGCTTTTCACAAAGCTGCGCAAAGCATGTGGCCTGGTCAACACTGGGGTCATTTCCAGCGTTCTGCACCTAGTTTGCCTGTTGCTTTGTTTGTGCTCCGTGTTTGCCCCCGGTAGCCCCATGGACCTCAGCATGCTAAATATGGGGAATGCATCAGATGTGGGAGGGATGACCGGAGGTCACCAGAGGCACGGATACCCACTGCGTGGAGGCAGCAACCAGCCTCTGCTGCCAGACCGTTCCTCCATTCACTGGACCAATAACACTGTGCTGTTTGAGAACGCGCCAGCAGGGACTGAACCAGAGTCTTACGTCTCCATCATCCTGCTGTTCCTTGGAGTCATTACAGCTCGAGTTGGTGAGTAGATGCCTGCTTTGTCCTAAAATATAAAAAAATAAAAATAAATTAACAAATAAAAATGTATACACCATTGTTTCAATTTGTGGGGTCAGTATGATTTTGAAAAAAAAAAAAAAGTATCTTATGCTCACTAAAGTACTTTTTAAATTTGAATATATTTTTAAAATGTAATTAATTCCTGTGATGGTAAAGCATTTCAGCATCAATACTCCAGTCTTCAGTGTCACATGATCCTTCAGAAATCATTCTAATATGCTGATTTTATCCTCAAGAAACATTTCTGATTATTATCTATGTTGGAAACAGATATGTTTCTTTTTTGTGTGTGTGTGTGTGTTTATGTGGAAATAACAAATTTTTTTCAGCATTCTTTGGTGAATAGAAAAAATTGAAATAAACAGAAATAGAAATAAAAATAGAATACAAATAGAAATCTTTGTAACCAATTTTTACTGTTACATTTAATACATTTAATGTGTAATCTTTTTCATTAAAATAATTAATTATTTTTAAAAAATTGGCAAAATATTTTATTATTTCTTAAAAAAAATCTTTCAACAAAACTGTTTCATTGCTTAATTAATATTTTCAAAACTTCTGTCTGCAAAACAAAGTCATGTTTATGGAAGCGTATATTTTGATCTCAAAATTCTGACTTTTTTCTCAAAATACTGAAAAATGTGAGATATAAACACAGAGTTGCGAGATACTCGAAAGATACTTTAAGGAAAAAGTCTTTGTGAGTTTGTATCTTGCAATTACAAAAAACTCGCATATGCTGAAAAGAAAAGTCCAAATTGTGAGATATAAACTTGGATTTGCGAGAAAAAAAAGTCAGACTGGTGTGATAAAAATTCACAATTAGCTTTTTCCTTTTTTTAAATCTAAATGAATGTCTGACAATTCTAAATTTATATCTCCCAATTCTGACTTTTTTCCTCATAAAACAGGGAAATTATATTATAGAGATGACAACAAGTCTCATAAAGTATGAGAGAGTTTATGAGAGTCAAGATTATGTCTGGTTCTAAAATGTCATGTGGTATTAGTAAGAATCGTACGTTAACTGATTATATTACACGTTATATCACCATGACGTGTAACCTAAAATAATATATGTTGTGGTGTTAATAATATATGGTGTTGTTGATTTCCAGGTCTCTGGTCCTTTGACCTGACAGTGACTCAGCTCTTGCAGGAGACCATATGTGAATCAGAGCGTGGGGTGGTGAATGGAGTCCAGAGCTCCATGAACTACCTGATGGACTTGCTGCACTTCATCATGGTCATCTCTGCACCCCAGCCACAACACTTCGGCATCCTTGTCATCATCTCCATCCTGTTCATTTTCACGGGACACACCATGTACTTCCTGTATGCCAGGAAAGTCAAGAGGAAACCACGTACGAACACATAAGCAACACAAATCTCTCTAGTGAATGTGTCTTAATCCCTGCGCTGTGCCGTGTGTTAAGATTCACTTACACAAAACGCACTGTATCCAGCTCAGCACATTAAAAAAAGCTGTCGCCGTGATCTCTTCGGAAGAAAGAAAGGGTTTGGCAGCAGCGTAGTACTCAGGTGAACATAACCAGGAAACAGCGGCTCCTGTTGACAGTCAAAAGAAACACCATCATAATAAACTTCGGCGAGCCAAGATTTCCTGGAAGTTAATAAGTGACTTAAAATGCACACTATTACAACAAGTACATAACTGAACATAGCTGACACAACATGTTTTCATGGATTATTAGCTAAGTAAACATCTTATTTGTAAATCTTCTCACATAAACAGAAACCAGTTTTTAATAAAACACCAGTAAATGTCTTCTTTTTTTCCCCCAAGATTACTTAGTAATCTTGAAAATTGGTACTTAGCACACAAACTACAAATCTCTTCTAACAGACAAAAGCTGCTTTTAACAGCATGTAAGGGGAATAGCTCTTTTATTATTTGTGCTTTTGACTGACTGATTAATCTTTCAAGTGAAAAATTAGTGAGTTTTAACAAGACCGTGGACTGTATCTGTTCCCCGTTTATATAAGTATTATGTCAAGGTCTTTTAATTGACTACTTTAACTGAGTGTTACTTCTGAGTTCAAAGTGGATGAAGACAGAATCTTATACCTCAGCACTTAACTGTTATGTTCTGAACTCTAGCTTGAACTTATTTGTGGACAGTAACTACAGAAGTAATGGTTAACATATATGTACAGTACTCAGACTGCATTGCATCTGTTTCAATTGTGTTAATAATCTATTTTATGGATTATGAAACACATTTTATTTCCCAGATTATTTTTACTGCTGATGTGTTATGTTAAATGTTGTTTGAGGATCATTTAAGTGTCAGACAGTTCAATGACAACCAATAAAACCGCTTTCAGAAGGAATGCCTGTTTAAATGAATACTAAATGTGGCTTACAGTGCTGTGTATTTTGTTGAAATATATACTCCATCTAAAATACTTAATTTTAAAATATATACAGTATATATACTGTACATACAGTTGTCATGACCTTATATTACAAATGATTTGTCACACCATATATAACTAGTTAGGTGAGCTGCAAAAAAGTTAAATGTAAAAAAATATATATTTAAAATGAAAATTTCAGCAACTAGTATGTATCCCAATCTATACATTCACTCAAACGTACATTAACAATGCTATTTATACAGACAGTGAATCTTCTATAATGAACATGTTTTCACTGTCTATATTTTTTATGAAATTGGTCTGTTTTTTTAGGGACCTAATGGGCAGGTTTGTAATTCTGTCTTTTGTCCACCAGATGTTACTAAAGAGACTACTACAAAAAAGAAAGAAAAAGAAAAAGCCTCACCCTGAAGACTTGTTTTGGTGACTTTTCCACATGTGTGTATAGTCAACAAAAAGCCTCATTTGAATTGTTTAATTGTATGGAAAGAATGGCATGAGAAAAGTGTGGTATGTTTATGGGATGCAGTACTTGAAGTTCAATGACAGTGAACATGGATTATAAACCAGTGGACAAGTATTAGACTGTATACTAGTACTTACCTCTATAAACCAATACTTACTTACTTACTTTTAATACTTACTTACTTAATTCTTCAGCAGATTATGAATAATATTGTCACTATGAACAAGGGCAGTTTAATTCATGCATATTATGACGTTTATTGTTTACTTTGAATGGAGATCGGGGCAGGACCAGGGCAGCTGAAGACAGGGTATCTTTGACTGCTGACTATGAAGATGGCAGTGACAGGACAGGGAAAGCCTTGGGCTCTGGTAGGGTCCATGACAGGAACCTATGGGCAGTGACAGTGACCTATGGAACTGTGACTGTGGTGGCCTGAGATAGGGATATCTGGAACTCGAATGAGAGGCTCCACAGGCAGCAACAGGAAGATCTGAGGCAGTCCTAACACTAGTATTTGAGTGGAATGGAACACTTGGACTAGAGCAGCCTGAGACAACTAGAAACAGGGAGCTCTGGAACCAAGGAGACCATGGGAATGGCTTTGGCTAGGTTCATAACAAGAACCTATGGTGGAGTAGTGACAGGAACATCACGGGCAGGGAGCTTTGAAAATTGAACAGTCTAAGAAAGGGAGCTCTAGAGCTAAGCCATTAATGGATACTGGCTTTGACTAAGACCATTACACAAACAGGGGCAGGTGCGGGACCTTGAGGACCAAGCTGTCCATAAACACCTGAGGTGGCTGTACAAGAAATCTTGGGTTGCTCTCACAGGAACTAAAGACATAGGAGAAACAAGACAAGGAGCCGGCTTTGGGTGCTGACTTTGGCTGGGGCCATTACAGTTCCCTCTAGGCTAGCTATATAAGGGAGCAAAGAAAGTTACTTTCACATAAATTTTAATGATTTCACTAAAGACTACAAACCTGACACACTGACACAAACCACTTGGACCCAGGAAGCCCAAGATAGGGAGCTGTGGTACCAGGGCGCCAACTTTGGAAGTGGTGTGATCTCCGCCACTGGCTCTGGGGCAGAAACCTTTAGGGCAAACGTATGCCCTTGGAAGAGGGCAGCCATGGGAACCAGCTATGACTATGGCCAAACAGATTGGAACATCTTGGGATGTAGAGGGAGACAGGCACTAGCTCTGAGGAGGCTCAACCTCTGAGACACCACAGAGAGGTACATGTTGGGGGCTAGGACAAGGAGCTCTGGGGTGAAGTCGCCTTGCTTGTTGATTTGACAAGAACCTCTGGGGCCATGATAGGGATCTTGGGGGCCGAAGCCACAACTGCAGAGCCACTCCAGGGGTTCCTGTCCTTTTTTTACACTGTTTTTAGGTTCTCCACATCTGTGACCTAAAACAAAACAGTAATCACATTTTCAGAAGTGAATCAGAAGAATGTTACCTGAAGCTAATGTCTGTAGTCTTACAGTTATAAGAAAACCAAAAAAAAGACTTTCAAACTTTTCAAAAAGCAAGTATGATTTAGCTGATCTTAGGCTTAGTACCTTGAACCAGTCGTGGAGAAGAATCTTGCTTAATCGAAGCCGCTGCTCTGGCTCTTGCTGGAGACAAGAACTAATCAACTGGCAGCATTCTATGAAGAACAATGTAAAAAAAATATCTGATTATTACTTTGAACTTCACACTGTCTTTCAGATCATGTTATTCTAAAACATCTTTATACAATTTGCTTCATGAAAAGCTCACCTTCTGTCAAGCCAGCTTTGGAGAAGTTGTTTGCATTGATCTTGTTCAAGTCATCAACGTTGGGAAAATCCCCGCACACCAATGCTAACAAGAGAACACCAAGGGACCAGACTGTTGCTGGCTTCCCATTGTACTCACCCTTCTCCTTAAACTCCGGGGGGCAGTACTGATCAGTGCCTGGAGGAAAGTGATTTTGAAACATCTGTAAGTTTGCAATATCACAGTATTTTTCTAAGCATCCATTAGCATTTGGTGCTACAGGTATATGATTCACATCAATGGTTCCAATTTTATGGCTTGAGGGATAATACACACCAGTGAATATCTTGTAGGACGATTTCTTAAGGAGGTCGCCACACCCAAAATCAATTAGCTTGACTTCATGGGTCTCCTTATTAATGAGCAGATTTTCAAGTTTGATATCGCCGTGTAGAACCCCACGGCGGCAGCACATGTAGGCAGCCTGTGTTGCCTGCCGCATGACGACACAAGCTAAGCCTTCATCGATGCTGCCTCCGTGGCGTTCTGCAAATTCAAACAGGTCCTCGCAGGGTGAGGGGCGCTCCATCACCATAACATAATGGTCATGCTGGTCCTGCCAGTCCAGCAGTTGGATTATTTCTGGAATGCTGGGGCCTCTGTTGGCGAGGATGTGCAGTGCAACCTCTAGTGGAAGGGGCTTGGAATGACCCGGCTAGAGGAAATAAAATTTTTATGATGGTTAGATGGATGTGGATTCCCAAATTAGGATTCAGACCAGTATTTCACAAAATGATCACAATGGCAACTGGTCTATTGAAAAATCAGCTATAGTAATATGAGATGTTTTACAGTAAATTGAATAGACAGAGGAGAAAGTAGAGAACACAGCCTACTTACGATACTGATGTATTCCACATTCTCCGTCTTTGTGACATATTTCACTGCTACCTAATAAATAAAACAATAAACAGATTGTTAAAAAAATATTTACAATTAATATAAATGCAGAGATCAAATTAATCCAATTCAGATGATTAATCTGCTAGCTAGATATTGTAAGCAAAAAATGAAACCTTAAAACCATCCTGCAGACGACTCCCCTCATACACGGCTCCAAAGGTCCCTTCACCCAGCAAATCGCCAATCACATAGTGGCAGGAATTGATGACTATTAAAGGAAAAACAGGGTTAGTTGAAATATCAAGTATTGACTGCAGTGTTGTCCAATTCTTGTTTAATTAATAAACAAGTGACAATAAAATGGCCTGATATAGTATCAAGAGTGTGTGTGTGTTGTGTTATTGTGGCAGTAAACTTACCCTCAATTTTTATCTTTCCATTTTTCTCCAGCTGCCTTGTCAGAGGTGACACAGAGACCTCTGTGGAACTAACTGAAGTTTGGATGACATTGACGCTCCAGTTTGATGTGGTGCAGACTGGAGTCTGGGCAATGTCCTTGCTCCAGTTGGAAGGGGTGCGCCGGACTGGAGTCTGAGCGATATTGGCACTCCAATTAGAAGCCGTGCGTACTGGAGTTTGGGTGACGTCAGCGCTCCAGTTTGATGCAGTGGGTGCTGAAGTCTGTGTGACGTCAGTGCTCCAGTCTGACATGGTGCATGATGAAGTCAGGCTGGCATAAATGTTCCAGTCAGATGGCGTCTGGGCAAAATCACCACTCCAGTTCGATGTGGTAAAGACTGGAGTCAGGCCGGCATTGATGCTCCAGTCAGATGCAGTACGAAGGACTGGAGCCTGGGCAATGTCAGCGCTCCAGTCTGATGCGGTATCGACTGGAGTCTGAACGACGTTGTCGCTCCATACTGGTGATTGGAGGACATCTGCATCAGGATGAACAGCAAGATGTTCCTCTGCTGCAGGAGAGACTTCAGGGTCACTGCCTGAAGGTTCCTGATGATTGTGGTTCTCTATAGTACAGATGAACTGCTGTAGTGAATTCTGATCTAATGAGGGGATATAAACCAAAACATAGTGTTAATCAAACAATATTAATTATTAATTGCATATTGCATAGTGGATACTCATTTTACTGCATCTAAGCTGTTAATTAGTATTTAACTTTTTGGATCCTTGTACATATTCTTAAAACATGCCATTTACCATCAGGACTTCTTCTAGATGGTACTGCCGCTGCGTCAGTACCCTGAGCCTCATCTTCACCCTGAACTGAGCTGGCCTTCCTGCTGTATTTTTTACCAGCTCTCCAACAAGAGGTCCACCTCCACAACCTGAACCTCCTTTTCTTTTTCTTAGAGGTGTCCTCCTTCCTCCCTTTCTTCTTTTTCCCATCCACATCCTCCTCTCCAACACCAGCTGGATGTGGGTGGGCTTCCACCAAACTAGCGAAAGACTGTGGCGGTGTACCATGGAAATTGTACACACGCCCAAAATCTTGTTCTGCCTCTTTGCAACGAGAGCTACGTTGACCCATCGCTATCGTGATTTAGCAGCAGAATGAGCAAAACGAGCGTTGCAGAACGTTTCACCTTTATAGAGTTTTTATGATGTCACAATCTACATTTAGAACAACTGCCTTATTCTATGGAGCCTCTCACCGTCACGCGGAAAAACATGACGTTTCAATCTTCTTGTGCAGCGCCAAGCGCCAGTTTTAATGAAGGGCACAGAGCACACAATTATTAATTAAACGATTATTACACGCTTTGTCATTTATCTATTTGATTTCAAGTCGAATACAAGCAGAAATTATGTAGTAGAATTTACTGAGGATCATACAAAAACATACATGGCTTTATTACAATTAGTACATGGTTGTTATACCGTACTATTGCATTTAATGTCATTCTGGATCATGAATTTTAAGTAGTAGCGTAATGAGACATCCAAAAATATCCGTTTACCACAGTGGCATATGCAGTTACAAAAAATATTTTAAATCATTTAATTCAGGTTAACACTGGCAACAAGTTACCAGTGATCTCATAGGTACAGCCCACTCAGGTCACGTGACATGTTACCTTTTTCAACCCCACACCTATGTTTACTCACGTGTCTGCCATTGTCACGATGTCTGCTGTGTGTAAACGAGCCCTGTACTTTTTCTGGTTATAGACGACTATCGATTTCATGTGCACACCTGTTGGTCAACATCCGTCACTGATTTCTATCTGGAAATCCGAGCTTTTCACTTCCAACCTGTGCTGAACTTGTCCTGGACTTGGAGATGGTGGACGAGAGTCCGACTGTTTCTTTTAAGGGTCTCATAAGTAAAGTCCTTGAAGATCACAGGAGCAGAGCTGATCCTCCTCTCTTACTGAAGAATGGCTCTCAGTTTAAGAAGAACCTGGAAGTTGTAAGTGTTTTAAAACTGACTTCACTTGCATTTGTGCTTGCGTTGTGGAACATTTAAGTGTAGTATTTGTTTAAAGTTTGTTTTGGAAATGACTCCCAACAGTGACTTTGAGAACAGCCGAACTAATTCATATCATTGGACAGGCTGTAATATGAGATTGGTTAAAGGGAAACCAGTTGGGTGGGATTTTAAACCTTGAATGAGGTGAATGTTTCTTCAACACAAAGAGACAATGTCAATGCAAGAAGATATTTCAGATATTTTATGTAGCCTCATTAACAATGAGACCACTGAAACAATTATATAAATAAGTTGTTGGTAAATACAGTTAGTTGGTAAATTGGTTATTATTAATGTATATGTATTGTAGAATAGTTTGGTAGGGTCTGTAAGATGTTTTTTTTTTTTTGTTTGAAATATGTCTTTTATGCTCACCAAGACTGCATTTATTTGATCATGAATAAAGTTCGATGGTAATATTGATATTCAGTAGCCCAGTTCAAAAGTAAAATATTATTGCAATTTAAAATAACTGTTTTCTATTTTAGAATGAATATTTTAAAATGTAATTTATTCCTGTGATGGCAAAGCAGCCATTACTCCAGTCTGCAGAGTTACACGAGCCTTCATAAATCATTCTAAAAAAAAAAGCAGTTGAACGCAGTTGTTTTGCTTAATATTTTGTGGAAACCATTTTTTTTTTTCCAGGATTCCTTGAAATAATTTTATATA